TAAATGAAGGAAGTGTCCTTGACTAATCATTTGCACTTAGAGCACTCAGTACATGTTAACAGTAGATAACAGAAAGGCAGCCCTGAAATGGAACTGTTAGTTCTGTATCCTGATGTGTTCTGGATAAAGACTGTCCCTGGCTTTTTCCCTAGGCAGACTTCAAACCTCTTTCCCAAGGAAAAATTTTAAAGAATGACACTTAATATAACTGTAAAGATTCTGTATACTAGTTTTTTTCTTTTCACAGTTTTTTTAACCTTTTAATATTAGTTATCAAAGCAGTTAATAATTTCAGATCTAGTAAAAAATTCATTAATAAAAATATAAATCTAGGAATAGACCTTATACTGTTACAAAAAATTAACTCAAAAAATGGACCACAAACCAATATGTAAATGACAAAAACGTAAAACTTGAAGAAGATAACAAATGAGAAAATCTAGTTGACCCTGGATATGGAAATGAGTTCTATTTTTTTAGTTAATTAATTTATTTAGATACACTAGATTGAACCCAGAGGCATTTTAATACTGTACTACATTCCCAGCCATTTATTATTTTTATTTTTAATGTTTTGGTACTAGGGATTGAACCTAGAGGTGCTTTACCACTGAGCTACATCACCAGAATTTTTTTTTTTTTTTTTTTTTTTGAGACAGGATCTTGCTAAATTGCTGAGGTTGGTCTTGAACTTACAATCCTCCTGCCTCAGCCTCCCTAGTCTCTAGGATTATAGGTGGGTGCTATCACATCTGGCTTATATTTTATTTTGAGACAGGGTCTTACTAAATTGCACAGGCTAGCCTCAAACTTGGGATCCTCCTGCCTTACCCTGCAGAGTTGGGATTATAGGTATGTGCCCCGTCCCACCATAGTGGTGACTTCAGATGCAACAACAAGAAAACATTATCCATGAATAAAGAAATTGATAAATTGGACTTCGTTAAAATTAAAAACTTCTACTTTACAAAGGACACTGTTATGAGAATGAAAAAACAAGCCACAGATTTGGAGAAAATATTAACAATAAAGGACTTGTGCCAAAAATACAAAAATAACTCTTAAAACTCAACAATAAGAAAACAACCCAAATAAAGTGGGCAAAGGGCAGTTGGGAGTGGTGGTGTACTGTGCACCTGTAATTCTGGAGGCTGAGTCAAGAGGATCCCAAGTTGGAGACCAACCTCAGAAATTAAAAAAAAAAATTTTTTTTAGTTGTGGTTGGTACAATATCTTTTTTTATTTGTTTTTATGTGGTTCTGAGGATTGAACCTAGTACCTCACATGTGCAAGGGAAGTGCTCTACCACTGAGCTATAGCTCTAGCACCCAACCTCAGAAATTTAGTGAGGCCCTAAGCAACTTAGCCAAACCTATCTCAAATAAATAAATAAATAAATAAATAAAGGGTTGGGGATGTGGCTCAGTGGTTAAATGCCCCTCAGTTCAATCCTTGGTACCAAAACCAAACAAAAACAAAACAAAAAAAAGAAAAAAAGTAGGTGCCAGGAGCCATTGGTGAACTGTGTGTGAACTAAAATCGGGATGGAAGCATTTGGGTAGGAAATTCTGGCGTCTGGGAACTCACAGCAGCACTCCTGCTGGTGAGACTGCCCAATACATGTGAATTTCTATCCAGCACTGCCACAAGTTCCATACAGCAGGGGAGATGGGGTGACCTGCTAGAGCTACAGGGCCACACAGCCTCTCAGAGATGGGTGAGGCTTGCGAAGATGCCAATCAACCTGTTGACTGCAATTCACCATGAAGCAAGGGGAAGGGAAGCAAATTAAAACAATAATGGAATACTATTACATATCTATCAGAGTGGCTAAAATCCAAAACATTGACAACACCAAATCCTGGAAAAGATGTGGAGCAACAGAAACTCCTAATCACTAAGGGTGGGACTACTCAATGGTACAGGTACTTAGGCAGTTATTCTTTTCCTTTTTTGTGGAACTTGTGATTAAACCCAGGGCCTCACACATGCTAGGCAAGTGCTCTACTGCTGAGTCACACCCCCAGTCCCAGTTGAGTTTAACAAACTGAACATAGGTGGGAAGTGGTGGCACATGCCTGTAACCCAGTGGTTCATGAGGCTGAGGCAGGAGGATCCCAAGTTGGAAGGCAGCCTCTGCAACTGAGACCCTGTCTCAAAAAATAAAAAAGGGCTGGGAATGTGGCTTGGTGGTTAAGCACCTTGGGGTTCAATCCCCAGCACTGTCCAAAAAATAAAAATAAAAAACTGCTATGAAGACCAAAATTGTACCTATAGTTAGATCTTCTGTCTCATCTGCAGACTCATTTATCCAACTGCTTCTTCCACGCGCCACTTGAATGTTTTAAATGTTTATCAAACTTAGCATGGCCAATCTGAATTATCAATTTCTCCCCTTAAACAAATATGCATACTATCCCATAACAATAAATGGCAATTCCTTCCTTCTAGTTGCTCAGGCTGTAACAAGGACTTGCCCGACTTTTCACCTTTGCCTGCAAATGTCCTATGGGTGACCAAAAGCTGGATTAAAGACTAGGCATCTCTGCCTTCATTTCATGTCCTTCTCCCATGCTCTGAGTCACCTTGGATTCTAGGAATAGCAGGTCTGATAGATAAACATCTTGTGATGAGTGGAAGTTATCCCCAGAAAGCCACCCCCCAGGCAACAACAAATTCCTTATCTGGGAGGAGGCTCCTGCAGACCGAACCTGAGATGAAGATTTCCCTGACTTTCCAAGGTGGGCTAAGCTATTTCCTTGTAGTCATTCCAGCAATATCAAACAGTACTGTAATTGTATATTTAAGCATTGGTTAAGTTAAGACTGAGTCTTTTTCACTGTTGAATAATAGTAACTTTAAATTTTTAGAAATGCACCTATTCTGCCATGTGAAGAATTAAAAGCTAATGTGGTTATCAGTCCACTGATGGCCTTTCAAACCTGAATTTTCTCAAGAATGACTTTTAAAAACAAAAAGAAATTTTAGAGAGAGAAATAGAAATGATTGAATTGCTTGAAGATAATAAATTTGGGGTATATTAGTAAGGTTTTTATTTTTCTTGTCATATAGCATCCTTAAAGCCTGCAACAGGAGGAACAGTGGAATGAATCTGACATAACTTTTCTATGTTCATATATGAATACACCAACAGTGAAACTCCACATCATGCACAACCACGAGAATTAGAATAAGCTGTACTTCATGTATGAGTAATATGTCAAAATTCACTCTATTGTCATGTATATCTAAAAGTAAATTTCATTTTTTTTTAATCCTGCAAGAATTTACATTTAGGAGTACTGGGAGTCCTTTGCCCTTTAGTCTCATACAAAACAGGTGACAATTTGATTTCAAAGCGCTGCTTGGGATTTCATTTGACCGAGCAAATAAAGCACAGAACATTCCTCCACTCAAAGGAAAACAAAGGTGCAAAATGCACAGTGATCCCTAAACAATCCTGCTCGTGAAAAGGCGGAACCAGAGGCAGCAGAGCGAAGCACTTCACCTGTTCCCACAGCATCCTTCTAGCCTGGCCTTACTTGGGTCGCTCCCACCGACCCTTGGGATCAAAATCCCCAAATCCTGGCCTCACCGCAACCACGCAGGTCAATGGAAAGTCTCTAGAGTAAAGGCGGCAACCCTACCTAGATGGCTTCATCTCCAAAACCTTAGAGGAAGTAGAAGAAGGAAAATTCTATCAAAGGAAAGGTGAAGGCCGAAACCACAGTGCTTACCAGACGCCCGCTCTCGGTTAATTGCGTCCTCTCGAACCGTTGGTTGGCAAGCAGCTACACACAACGTCGCGATGGCCCCTGGGAGTTGTAGTTTCTGTCGTAAACAGAACGGGCCGGCAGCATCAAAACTGCATTTCCCAGCAGTCAATGCGAAGACGCCCTGCCTATTTAAATCTGGTTCGGTATAATAAAGAGGCTGACACTATTTTTTAGGCTATTCTTAAATTTAGTTTCAGTTTCTCCCATAGGTGCTGTAGTGCTTTTATTTGACGCGCTTGTCCCGCGTAATAAATTCTCAGTGTACCCTATTTCTTATTTTCCCTTCCCCTTCTCCAGACCAGCTACTCCAAACGCCTGGGAACGAAAAGCAATTGCCAGAACAAGCCGTGTGCCTTTGAGGGTGCACGCGCCCTACTCGCAATCGCGCATGCGTAGTAACCCGCAGCGGTCGGCGGCCGAGCTCAGTGGACTGGGGGTCTGAAGGTAGCCTGCTAGAGGGCGGGGCTTTTTCCAATGGCTATGCCTCGGCGGGTCGCGTCTGCCTGGGCGGGGAAGAAGGCGCTGGGGCCGGGGCGGCTCCGGGTTTGTGCCGGGCGGAGAAAGGGGAGGGGCTGGGGGGTAAGGACCCCATCTCCCCTCCTTGCTCCCGCCCTCTGGGCCGATCTCACCGATGGGGCTGGGCAAAGGGGCGGGCTCTGTGCCTCAGGCCCTGCAGCTCTGCCAACTCCACCGCCCTGCCCGGTGCTTGAGGATTCCCGCGGCTGTTCTGTGCCCTTTGGCTTGGCGGCGGCGGCGGGCTAGGGCACCGGGATAAGAGAAGAAGCGGCGTCTTCCAAGGGGTCCGCAGCCGACTGGGCCGGCGACGCTCTGTGTTGTCGCCGCCCGCCGAGACAGCGACTGCTGGAGACTGCCGTCCCCAGGAGCGCCCGACTCTTGGGCCGCACGGCTAAGGGCCAGGGTTCAGCTAGCCTCCCCTGCCGGCGCCCGTCCCGCAGCTGGGGCGCTGGTAGAGCTGAGGAGGGCGGGGACTTGTGTCGGAGGAGGGGCGTGGTGGGAACGCTGGGGGAAACCGGTGGCTGCACAGACAAAAAACCCGAATGCCTGGAGAGTGTTCAACTGTTACCAGCCTTTTTGGGCAGAGCACGGATTTGACAGCTCTACAACGTGAGGATATCCGCTGACTCCGCGAGACAGAGAACACTTATTCGAGAATCCCGGTCCTGCAAGCCAGAGCTGTAAGATTTCAACTTTCCAAGTTTTTTTTTTTTTTTTCCAATCTCTGAGCAGAAGACCGCCCTTTTTGGTAGAAGGAAAGGGTGATCGGTCTTGTAAATAGATTGACCGCATCAACTTAAAAGACACTTCTACTTCCAAATGTCACCCAGACGTGTTTTCGTGACGGGTCGATTTCCCTGAATTTATTCTTACATTTCGCACTTTAAAAATATAAAGTGCTTTTGGGGCATGCTGAAAGGTAACTGAAGACTGCAAAGGAGAAACTCCGATTGTCATGGCTGAAGGAGAGAATGAAGTGAGATGGGATGGACTGTGCAGTAGAGATTCAACTACTAGGGAGACAGCACTGGAAAACATTAGGCAAATCATTTTGAGAAAAACCGAATATCTTCGTTCCGTGAAAGAGACACCTTATCGTTCATCAGAAGCCGGGCTCCTAAATGCTGTTTCTTTGGATGGGTTGAATAAGCTACTTGCTCATCTGCTTATGCTTTCTAAGAGGTGTCCTTTTAAAGATGTAAGAGAGAAAAGTGAGTTTATTCTGAAGAGCGTTCAGGTAAGGGAGAGCATTATAAGTACCGCTTTACTATGAGATTTTACTTGGCAATTACATTGTGTTTGATTCACATATTAGGTTATTGGGAACTATGAATTGAACTCTACTTTAGGGACTTGTGTAAAACAATCAATTTGAGGCCACAGTGAAACAAGATAAACTAAAAACGATTTCCAAATATAAGTGAGCATGTATTGTTTTTCTACAGAGCTTTAGGCAAAAACTGCACTGCTTCTAGAAGAAAAACATGAAAGTTACAGTTAATTGCAAGACGTTTCTTTATGTTTCTTTTCGTGTTAAATGTAGCCAGTGTGCTTTTCATATTGTTAAGAGTTGTACGTGGAAAGTTTTACATTTAGAGATTTAAAGCCTCTAAAACGATAAAGGATATTAAATATTTCCCAGTCAGCTTGTTCAAGATAATTGATGGAACAATTTTTTCTTGTTCTAAAAAACAAACAAACAACAACAACAAAAAACCCCAGGATTTGTTCTCCAAATGCAAAGCAACTTTTTTTTTAAAGGGGGGGGCTATGTAAAACAATAAAAGATTGCTATAAAGAGGCAAATATCTTCAGGTTGAAAAATTGAACCCAGGGAAGGCATATAGTAGAAACAGTTTGATGGTAAATTACTCAACCACCTTTTCTGTGTTTGCTTAAATAGTTTTTCTTTTTATATGCATACCTATTTAAATTGTGAGCGCAGCAAAATTAAAAATATTATAATCCCCCATTTTTATATAATCAATTTATTCTTTTTTATTAGGTTTATTAGTTTTTTTAGAGAAATATTTACAGATAAATAATTTTCAGTGACACTTTATATGTACTTGTCAGTCTATAAATTAGTCCGCAGGTGTTGTTCAAAGTCATAAATGAGAAATTTTTAAAATTTGTAGTTTACTTGCATATATACATTAAGCTAAGCCTGATCATTTTTCTATACTGGCCTGAGTTTAATTTAAAGCAACAGAAAACTCATATCCATAAAATAAAGACTCTAAGATCTTGGAATATTTCTTCTCACAAATAACTTTGTAAACAATTTTTATACTTAATTTTACCAGAAATAATTTTCTGGGTACCTGAAGTTTGTTCTTTTAAGCACAAAAAGTTTTTCTCTCTTATACTATAGTCACTATGACAACTGTTCTTTTCAAATAGGGGCTCACTATGCACATCAGGTACTATTATGTATTGTATAGGATTATGTAATCCACGTCCATGTTTTTTTCTTGTTTGTTTGTTTGTTTTTGTGTGTGTGTCCGATTTTTATAGTTTTCTGTCCCTTCCCTTGCTGTTTGTATATTTCACTTAGGTCTCTTCCTGTCCTTTCATCTTGCTCTTCTTTATATTATAGTGAAAAACTAGATAACCAATTTTGTTAAGAATTATATTGAAAACAAAATTAAGCAGGCTCTGGGGAGTGCTGTGTCAAAGGATTGCAATATAAATGTAAGTAAATGGGCACTAGAATCACACCTAGGCTCAAATTCTCCTCCTTTATTAATGTATTGCCATAACCTTGGGCAAGTTACTTGGTCTTCTTTAACTTGCATTTTTCACATCTGTTAAATGGGAATAAGAATATAGGGCTATCATGAGAACTGAGAGGTAAAGTGCCCCAGCATAGTGCATGTTCCTCTCCCTTTTCACAAATGAAATATATGGACTATGTGAAATTTATTTCAGGACTCACTGCACCTGTAAAAGAATTTGAGAATTTTCTTTACTGTGAAGATTTCCCATAAACTTACACATTTGAGGAGCTACTGAGGGTTGGACTAAAGGGTACTCTACCACTGAGCTAGATCCCCAGTCCTTTTCATTTTTTTATTTTGAGACAGGGTATTACTATGTTGCTGAGGTGGCCTTGAACTTGGGATCCTCCTACCTCAGCCTCAGTAGTAGTAGTCACTGGGATTACAATACACACCCTACGCCCAGCTAGACTTAACACTTATTTTTCATTTCTGCATCTATTGTACTTTATTCCTGTCACTATTCTAAGAGGAACTTATATTGTACTATAATCACATGTTTGTGTGTTTGTCTCCCCCAGGAGAGCTGTAAGTTCTCAAGAGTATTGGCTGGGAACTGGAAGCTACTAAATAAATACCCAGTGGATGAACAAATTTATATTTGCCTTCTTTCTGTTTCTCATCAGTCTAGGTAGATGAAATTTCCATTTTAGGGAGTTTCTACCCCCACGTTATTCATCCATCCATGCATTCATGCAATAAATGTTTATTGAACCCCTGGTGAGGATTGAGGACCAGTGGTAACAATTTTGACATTCTACTGAGGCAAGACAGGGCATAAAGAAGTAGTCAAATGAAAACATTAATTTTAGATAGTAAGGGAAGACTTTCCTGAGACAGTGACATTTAAGCAGAGACTAAATAAATTAATCAGATTTTTCTGCTGATCAGGACTTAATAGTATATTTGAAGGCCTCAGAGCAAATGAATTCTAGGAACAGAATGTGATTCAGTATGATCGAAGTAGACTGTTTGAGGGGGGTGTGAAAATTTAAGAGCATATGCTCTGGAGTCAGACCTGGTTTCAGTACTTTATTAGCAGTACAATGTGGGTGTTACATAATCACTCCTTGACTCAGTTTCCTAATCTGCAAAATGAGGAAATGTTAGTTTTTCCTTACAGTGTTGCTGTAAGAATAAAATGAAATTATGCTTGTAAAGCATAACACCATGCCTAATACATAAGAAATACTCAGTATTGTTAGGTATTCTTGCTATTGTTAGGTAGGATCCAAATAACAGAGGGCTTGTAGGCCATGTTAAGGATTGTGGACTTTATCCAGGAAACAATGAGAAGCCACTCAAGACTTCTGAACAAGGTGGTGACCTGATTGGTAATGTGTAAGAAAAATCAATCTGAAAGCAATGTGGAGATGGGTTTCTAGTGTCAAGAGTGGATGTGCCACAACACTTAGAGGGTTGTTCCACTGATCTGTGGCAAAAATGATGGTAGACTAGATGTAGTGGAAGAAGTGGAAAAGGAAATTAATTGGGGAGATAATCAAGGAGTTAGTGTACACAGGATATAGTATTTAACTGGTTTTAGAAGAGGAAAATAAAAGCAAGAATGACTCTAGTTTGAACTACTTGGTGAATAATATAATCATTTCCTGATATAGAAGAGTGGCAGGAAGTCCATTTAGGAGAAAAATGACTTCTGTTTTAAACATGTTGAGGTTAAGTTGCCTATGAGATATGTGAGTAGAAATGGCTCAGTGGATTTCTGTCCCTACTATCATTATTGTAGTTTTATTATCTCTCACATCTCCAGACTTAACCTAACTCACTCTCCACCTTTCTATCCTTCACATAGCTGCAGAGCCATTTATCTAAATGAAAATCTGGCCGTGTTACTTTCCTGTCTAAAACTTTTATAATAGAAGAGAATCTATTGAATGTCACATAATAATCAGCATCCTCTGGCATCTACTTGCCTGTCTACCCTCTGCCTCACTGCTCCCACCTTATCATCAATCTCACGTGGGAAATTAAATAGTAATTCAAATGTAGTACTCCATAATACTTTCATTAGTAAAGCAAGAAAAACTGAAGTGCATATACAATTCCTGCAGCTGTTCTTGAAGGACCTTAAGTGATTGCTTTAGGTCATCTCCAAGGATTATAAGTGGTGAGGGAGAAATGATAAGGTTGTGGTAGGGTGGATTCAACTCCAAATGTCTAAATCTGTTTTAAAAAAAAAAATTGGCACATTGGGAGACCACATATTCTGTTTATAAAACATGTTCTTAATTTACTGATTTCACACCAACAGCATATTGAAATCTGCTTAACACATTTTTGAGAGCCATTCTCTACCTGGCACTGTACTTGAACTAGAAGATCAGTAAGTTTGTTACCCTCTATTGTGGAAAGTCCTCTGTTCCCATGGGATGCTATATTTATTCTGGGATGCCTTTTTGATACTCTTGATACCCTAAACAAAGAAACAGAGGTGTTGACCTCAAGCCCACTTTAATGATATAATCTACTAGTGAATTACAGTCTTTTTGCAGGGGGGTGGGAGTGGGGGATGGAAGGAGGTACCTGGGATTGAACCTAGGGTTGCTTAGCCATTGATCCACTTCCCCAGCTCTATTTTGAGAGTCTCTTACTAAATTGCTAGGGCCTCACTAAATGGCTGAGACTGGCTTTGAACTTCCATTCCTCCTGGCTCAGCCTCACAAGTCACTGGGATTACATGCATGCGCCACTGTGCCCAGTGTGAACCAATAGTCTCAATGAAGCTTATCAAATTAAGATGAAAAATGTGAGTGCATATATGTATCAAAAGATATAAGGAGTATCCTAAATAACATTTTCAAGACTCTTCATTAATCATTTTTATTTTTGTACTATGAAGAGGGAAAACTAAGTTTTCTCATACCAGCATTTAATATTGTCTGAAAGCAATTTGGCTTAAGGTAGAAAATTTGGACTAAGTAAAATAGTTACTTTGTTAAGTGAGGTAAGGAAGGCTTTCATTTAGTGAAGTGATTTCTTCCCACCCCCTCCCAGGGAGAAATGAAACTGTAATTACTGGATATGATTCACTTTTGCAGTTGTTGGTATGGTACTTGAAGTTGGTGTATCTAATTGCTATCCAATTGTGTAATATATAGTTTATAGATCTAGCAAAATAAGTTTATTATTTCACATAATAATTCTGGACATTGCATGATTCCAAGCTTGATTGATTAATTTATTGGCTCAGCTAAAAATAAAAGAGTTTCTTCCCATGTTTCTATCAGGAAAGAAAGGTTTTTCCCAGAAACCCTCTGGCAGAATTCCTCTCAGTATTTTATTGGGCAAGATGGTGGTCCCATGTCTTTTCCTAAACCAGTCATTGGCAAGCAAATTAGGCATTTATATTTTTAGTTTGGATTATGAGTATTCAGCCCCTAAGGGCCATGATCAACTCCTCTCCCTTCCCTCCATCACTTGAACAGGTCTAGTTAGA